AGGAGATAATGGAGAGTGTGGCTACACATGGGTAGAAAATGAGGCAGGTGAATACATATTCAACCTTAGGAGAAAATTACCCTATTTACAACATCCTTATGCCTTATGTAGCCTTTCTCTGTCCCACTTAAAATTACCTGTGTTAACCCCTCCAGTGAAGATCCACGCTCCTGTTGTCATGGCAGCTTTGATGAGGCCTTTCCCAAAGACTTGCTTGAGTTTTGGCTGGAGTTCAAAGTTCTGTAGGCCCCCATGAACTGAGATGAGAAGCTTGGGAAGCTCCAACTGCCACTCCTTGGTCATCAGGTGTAAGAGGAGGTCAGGTTTTGTATCAAAAGACACTCTCACGTACTGCAAGAAGAACAACATTGATTAGGGAGACAGGGCAGGGTGGGCTGGCTACAGCTGCTTACCTTCGCTGATTGCCATCATATGTGTAGTTCCCCGAAGAAAACATCTCATATGAAATCATATTTTTTAAAAGAGTCTTCATTAGACAAACGGAGTCACCATTTTTAAAGGTTTTTTTTGAAATTGTGAATTACTACAAACTTTACAATTATGTGATTTTTCTAAAATGCAAAACAAGCCCAACTTTTCCCAGAATGGGTTATTTGTTCAAAGGAAAGCATCTTTATATTTTACCAACCTTAACATTTGCACAACAGGTAAACTGTTTCTAACATTTTCAATGTAAGTAATCCCTTTATACCAACTGGACATAGATATAACTGTTTCTATGACTCTGTTATTTTGACATTTTTTGAGGAATTCTACAGTTCTGCATAACATAATAAGAATTCTAAACTAAGGTAACAGCTGACTATCTTTAAATCTATAATAGCAGCTTACCAAATATATTTTTTTATCTTTTAAAGAAGACAAGTAACAAAAGGTATGCTAATTATCCTGGTAGAATAACTGAAAAAATTAAAGTGTATAGCAGATATCAAGGTATTATCAGATGCAACTGGAGGTAAGTTAGAAGTATATATAAATGAAATGCTATAAATACACGAATGCATTTGTGTATCTATATAGCCATATACATAGCTTCCCATTTAGATCTCAGTTTAATTATATAAAGACTTTCATCAACAACTAACATACTGGGCTAATATGTTTGAAAGCCTTTTGAAATGCATTGCTGGGTTGGGATGTACAGGGAACATTCAAGTTCCTTCAAATTCCAGCAAGGGGGAAGCTGGAGTCTCAGGAGATATGGAAGTAGCAAAGCAGGCTTTGGCTCAGAGTTATTCCTAAACCTGGGGAGGCCCTGGATATCTGTTTTAATGGATTTATGCAGTATGGAGTCATCTAATTGGGGACCCCACACAGAGCTGGGATACTTGAAAGGGCTCTACTCTAAAGTGTAAAGAAGAAAAAATAAGTAAGTCTGATGCACAGAAGAAGATAGCCAAGGAAACTTGCCTGTCAATATATAGACTTGGAGCCTTGTAACAAGTTCGAATGAAGTTACTGCAGCATTACTTGTATGCTTTCAATGGGCACTGCTGATTCAGGCTGGAGAAATATGTCAAAACAATTTATAGGCATCCATTCCATTATCTGGTGCACATTAATAATGTTCCACAGTTCAGCACTTCAAACTAGAAGTGGGTTTGTAGGAACTGATTTGATAGCCTGTCTGTCTCGCAATGTAGAAACTCATTTGGCAGACAGAAAAAACTGTTTGGAATTCAGAATGGAGTGTGTCTTCCATTGGTGTGGGATTTGATTGAATGAAATATTTTAAATAATAAACACATAATACAAAAACCACCATCATAGTTTATGTCTCTGATGATAAGGGCATTTTACAAAAACTAAAGCTATCTGCATCAAACTCAGAATCATTTAAAGAACAGAGGCAGATCTTCTGATTTAGAGCAAAACTTATTCTTTAAAAAATTCCTGGATGCTTATTTGGTCACTTGAGGTACTGAAAACATCCCATGAAAACTCTATCAGCCATATTTACAAATTCTGTGTAGTGAAGAATTAAATATCCCAGCCTGATTCTTACGTGTAAAATGTTCTTCTTGGTGGGGAAATAACTACTTAGATAAAGGAGGGAGAGAGAACCTGCGAGGAGATAATGGAGAGTGTGGCTACACATGGGTAGAAAATGAGGCAGGTGAATACATATTCAACCTTAGGAGAAAATTACCCTATTTACAACATCCTTATGCCTTATGTAGCCTTTCTCTGTCCCACTTAAAATTACCTGTGTTAACCCCTCCAGTGAAGATCCACGCTCCTGTTGTCATGGCAGCTTTGATGAGGCCTTTCCCAAAGACTTGCTTGAGTTTTGGCTGGAGTTCAAAGTTCTGTAGGCCCCCATGAACTGAGATGAGAAGCTTGGGAAGCTCCAACTGCCACTCCTTGGTCATCAGGTGTAAGAGGAGGTCAGGTTTTGTATCAAAAGACACTCTCACGTACTGCAAGAAGAACAACATTGATTAGGGAGACAGGGCAGGGTGGGCTGGCTACAGCTGCTTACCTTCGCTGATTGCCATCATATGTGTAGTTCCCCGAAGAAAACATCTCATATGAAATCATATTTTTTAAAAGAGTCTTCATTAGACAAACGGAGTCACCATTTTTAAAGGTTTTTTTTGAAATTGTGAATTACTACAAACTTTACAATTATGTGATTTTTCTAAAATGCAAAACAAGCCCAACTTTTCCCAGAATGGGTTATTTGTTCAAAGGAAAGCATCTTTATATTTTACCAACCTTAACATTTGCACAACAGGTAAACTGTTTCTAACATTTTCAATGTAAGTAATCCCTTTATACCAACTGGACATAGATATAACTGTTTCTATGACTCTGTTATTTTGACATTTTTTGAGGAATTCTACAGTTCTGCATAACATAATAAGAATTCTAAACTAAGGTAACAGCTGACTATCTTTAAATCTATAATAGCAGCTTACCAAATATATTTTTTTATCTTTTAAAGAAGACAAGTAACAAAAGGTATGCTAATTATCCTGGTAGAATAACTGAAAAAATTAAAGTGTATAGCAGATATCAAGGTATTATCAGATGCAACTGGAGGTAAGTTAGAAGTATATATAAATGAAATGCTATAAATACACGAATGCATTTGTGTATCTATATAGCCATATACATAGCTTCCCATTTAGATCTCAGTTTAATTATATAAAGACTTTCATCAACAACTAACATACTGGGCTAATATGTTTGAAAGCCTTTTGAAATGCATTGCTGGGTTGGGATGTACAGGGAACATTCAAGTTCCTTCAAATTCCAGCAAGGGGGAAGCTGGAGTCTCAGGAGATATGGAAGTAGCAAAGCAGGCTTTGGCTCAGAGTTATTCCTAAACCCGGGGAGGCCCTGGATATCTGTTTTAATGGATTTATGCAGTATGGAGTCATCTAATTGGGGACCCCACACAGAGCTGGGATACTTGAAAGGGCTCTACTCTAAAGTGTAAAGAAGAAAAAATAAGTAAGTCTGATGCACAGAAGAAGATAGCCAAGGAAACTTGCCTGTCGTGACCTTGATTCTGAGTAGATGAGGAAAAAAGGCCCCTCTGATTATTTATAAACAAAAATGGCCTTCACATGAGTTCTGGTCTACATTCACACGACCAGTGTGGTTTGCAAAACACCAAACAGATACTTAATGTAAAATTGTTCTGGCTGGGTTATGGCTCTCAATAACTGGCAGAAGCAAATGCAAATCCTGTGTAGAGGAAAGCGTCATCAATCTAGAGCTCAAGTAATTCCCATGGGAAAATAAGCATTTATAGTAAGAAACTAAAATAACAGATCACACAAGCAGATAAAGCAGCATGGGTGAGAACCAAAAGAAGCAACAGGTAGCAGAGTAAGGCTTTCAAAGACACTGAAATGCTCAAACAGCATACAAAAGAGCCATATTTAATATGTTAAAAATGTAAGTCCCATGAGTAGGGAACAAAGGACTCTAAGGAATGACCACATACATTTGAAAAAGAATAAAAAATAGAACTTCTATCAAGTAAAATGTAATAATTTAAATGAAAAATACAATGGGCAAGTTAAAACTGATCAGACACGCTAATGATAGATTCAGATAAATAAATCAGGTGCAGCCTCCAAAGACAAAAGAACTGAAACAAGAAAAATTGAGAACTGGGGGTGAGATAATCAGAATTCTAGATAGAAATAAAAGAGATAATGGGAACAGGCAATACTTGAACAGAGATTGACTGGGAATTCCTCAGAAATGTTGAAAGATACCAATTCTCAGATCTGGCAACTTCCACAAATCTCAAGCAGGATTGAATAAGAAGAAATCCCACTCATAGACACCTCACAGAGAATACCAAAGGGAGAGGGATAAATCTTTAAAAGCAGCTAGAAAAAAATAAAACCAGATCTCCTAAAAGAAACAGTCATTAGGCTGATGGGGTACCTGTCAAGAGTAACAATGGAAGCCAGGGGCCAGTGTCTTCAATGCTTAGCAAAAATATCTTTCAAAGATGAGAGCAAATTATAGATATTTTCAGGCTGCCAAAACTGAGAATTTTTACCTCTAGTAGACTTCACTGAGGGAGATTTTAGAATACATACAGCAAGCAGAAGTTATACGATCTCTAATGGGTGATCTGGGATACAAGAAAGAATGGTTAAAAAAGATATTGGCAAATACACTACAGCAAATCTAAAAAAGCATTGATTGTAAAATAAAAAAATGATAGTAATGCCTAGTTTATGGTGGAAAGGGATAGAGCTAAAACACCTGACAATATAGCATATAAATTAGATAAATCAGATGGTAGTAACAGAATTAAAGCTTTCTAAAGTCTATGTTATGTCAGAGAATAAAGAGAGGTATTGATTAACTTTGGAATTTGTTAAAATATTAATGTTGAAGTAGCATAACCACAAAATAGAACAGACCTGCACATAATCATACAAACATATGCTTTTACCTGTGTAAGTAAATAAGGTTATCCAGGAGATGACAATTTATTGTCATGTTTTTGGATCTTGAAGATCCCATATTTGTAAAAACCTCAAAAATTACATGACAATTCTTTTGTTAAACTGTATTTTAAATGTATTTAGCTGAAATGTGAGGCAAAGCATAAACAATATGAAAACAACTTGATAAAATAAACTGTGTTAAGAAATACTGAAGAGTTTAAGTTTCTATACACATATACCAGAAATTCAATGAAGTGTTGAAATCCAGTGCTTCTGGTTCTATATTGATTTGATCTACCTAGTAAATACCAATTTCAGAATGGAAAGAGTAATGATTGACAGTTCTAGCTAAGTGCATTATATCAACAGAACTTAACTAAATTTGACCATATGAGAATGGCCTACTTTGCACACAAACTCTCATGCAGTGCCCAAGGACTTTCAGATTATCTGGCATTAAAAATTTTCAACAACAGTGTGCACTTTTATGCCATGCAAGGAGCCTTGGAGCTCGACACAGTATAGAAGTAGTGGAAGCAAACACAAGTGTTTCTTAAATTAAAGCTTCTTTATTAACTCTTTAGCATTGTATTTATTATTTCATCAGTGACTATAAGAAAATCTACATAATGAATGCTAAAGATAAAAGAATAATATGTCTTTTGTGCCTGTATGCTTGAATAGTTAAAATTTGGTGACTCTGCTGGATTGAATTTATATCATTTTGACTAATTCTAGAAAGGGATATTTAATGAAATAAACTAGGACTGTGACTCACAAGACTTCCAAGTTATACAAACCAAGAATGTTTCGTGTGACAGATGGTAAGAACTTGCCTTTCAAGTTATTGTTCTCTTATTTACCTACTTTAGTGTATCACTCTCTTACTCTTTTAAAAAAGAATTTAAAGAGATAAAAAGTTAAATAAGAACTGTCTAAGGTAAGATATAAATTAGTTTTTTAAATATGGAAAACCACTTGAAGTATATACTTCTAAAATTATGTGCCCCTTGCAAGCCTAGATAGTGGTTCCTAACATTTCTGAAGGATTTTTAAAATGTAGTTCCAGTGATTAGAGAAGGCATCCATGAGATGTCTTAAAAAAACTTTTTAAAGTATGCCTTAAAAAAACAAGAGAAGTAATTGTGATTGTGGCTTTTGGAACTCCAAGATGCCTCACTGAGCATCCCCAACTTGTACATTTTATTTAGCCAGGTAAATAATCTAAGATTCAGATCCATAGACAGTATCTGGGAACAGATATGCATACATTATTAACTCATATAGTGTGAAAGAAGATTGCAATTCATACTAATTCACTGCACAGAACATGTAATAATATCAGCAAGCTTACCCTAGCTAAGTGACATACCATAGAATTCAATTATTCAAACTAACTGGTAATAATAATCCAAATGGATTTTTAGGAATAAGCCTCATTTGGCAAGTAATTCACTCTGGAGCTTTAAAGTTATGTATACAAATTACCAGTAAGGAATCAATTTTTTGATCATGTGAGCTATTGCAGTTGGTCTTTAGACCAATAAATCTAATTAAATATGTTGAAATTCCTTTGGAACTAGCTTGATCTGTTTCCTAGTTAGGAAACGAAGAAAAGCTTGTTCATGATCACAGAACGCTTATTACTCAGCTAGCAAGTGCTGCAGCAGGGAATGAATGAATGACCTGAGATCACCTCAGCCCCAGCTCTCTGCCTTATAGATGAAGAAATGGAGGCACTCAGTGTCTGCCTGGTGTAGGATCACATTGCTTGTGGACTCTCTTCACAATTTCCTTCTGCTCTCAGTTTCTTAACTCTACCAAGAAAAAATAAAAAAAGCCCAAACTCCAAACCACAACCCTCGTTGTGCCAGCACACACATCATTTCATGGATTCCTCTCAGTAATGAGGCGGTTGATATCATCCACATTTTACTTTTGGGGAACAGAAAGGATCCATCAGGTTCCCAAGTGCAACTGCTAGTAAATGGTAAGGACAAGATTCAGCTGGAGTCCTTGCTCTTGACCTCCAACATAAAAACGCCTCTCTCCCTACTTTTCCTTTTCCTTCATCCACAACCAGTCTCCAAGTCCTAATGATCCATTCTTAAAAGAGTGCCCTCCACCGGGCCTTTCCCTCTGAGGCCTTCAGTTGCCATTTTAAGAATAAATTCTCCTCATACTATGGTGTCTAGATTAGGGCAACAGCTTTCACATGGCTTCTCTGACCCCATGCTCTCAGTGAGACATCAACAGGCAGACATTTTTCTCCAATTTCTTCTTGATCACATTATTTCTCAATTCACATTGCTACATGCAAGTAAATGCTCACTCTGGCTGTCAGGGTCCCTCATGATTTATCCTTCCCCTGCCTGTTGAGAGGTGTTTCCCCACTTCTCTCCGCATTTGGCTAATGCTGTGCCTTCACTCCCAGAAAACCCCGTTCATTCCCTTCCATTTACATAAATCATTCTCATCTTTCAAAGCCTTTGATT